GGCATCCAATGGTGATAGTGTCTAACGTCAACCAATCCACAAAATTGCGCAACCATCTTCCATTGCACTAAGGTAGATACCTGTCTCTACACGACATGGATTAGCTCCACTGGTCACGGCTTCTCACTAGACCTCCGAGAATTCCCTAACGAAGCCAGTCGCTAGTGAGCAAATATTAATTAGTATAAAAGTTGTGGAGATTACTAAGTTTTTGATTGAGATCATGAATTGGTAATTTGATCAATAATGTAAGCCTTATCATCGGGTTCCAAGTTCGGTAACAACACCTTCAAAACCAGTAAGATTTCATACACAAATACAATTTGAAAATTTATTAAAATGAAAAATAATAATTCATCTAAAATACTTTCAATTTTAAGTAATGATTACATTTTTTTATATGGAAAAAATATGTCTATAGGAGGATAGAAAAGATTGCATCATAAATATTAAATGCGGAATATTATTAGATCCATAAATTATTTTCTTCTATACGTAACCGTATTTGATTACATTTTTGTTACATCTACATTACCCACTAAATGATTAATAAAGAACATAGTTACAAATATATTAAATCACAGTTATTTTTCATGACAATATGTTGGATGATTTCAGTAGTATAAATAAATTATATCAGTAATTAGTCTTAATAATCAGTACATAAAACACTAAATATTAAATGTGTCTTCATAATAGCATACAAATTTAACCAATTCAATTTTGATGGAGAGATAAAAGGTTTCTATTTTATGTAAAAGAACAGGTCAAAAAAGTTTCATTTTTTTTAAGACGAGAGGAGTAACCGACTGATTTAAACTACTTTCTAACCTGTAAGGTATTAGAAGAAAATGTACCACTATTTTTCCGAAGAACTAAATGTTAGATACTAATATCTGTACTCAACTGAAAAATGTTTTAAAAATAGGTTCGATCATGCATAAAAGAATCTTTTTGGTTACTTAGTTATGAAAGTTTCACTAATGCGTTGAGTATAAAAACTGGTGAGCATAGTCATTTTAACACAATGGAGGTATATAATATACGCTATTATTTATTCTATCTTTAAATTAAAATAAGTCAATTATTCATCATCATTCCATTATCTATATTAATTCATTAACTGCAAAGAATTATTTTTATCCAGTCAGTATAACCTTAAATAACTATTCTATTGTCAGAAGACTATGACTTTTGTTTGAGCAAATCATGTGAGTAATATTTAATATCAAATGAATGATATAAATAGATATATACATTTATGTATATAGTTCTGTATCAGGATTTATATTTGCATAAAAGTGAATTTTCTTTTCTTTTCAAGTCTTTTCTATTTGACTGTTTCAATTAACTTAAGGAAGTCATATGAATATCGCACTTTGATAAATACCATTTATTATATAGAGTTTTTGTTTGTTCTAAAGAAAACTATCTGTTTTCAATACAATTTTCATTGCTGTGTATTATATACAAAAAGGACTATAGTAATAATAATAATAATAATAATATTAGTTGGTATTTGTTCATGACTTAAATCAAAAGTAAAGTATTGAATGATCAAGGACTTAAGTTATTTATCTTTCAAAAGAAAATATATTGAAGTGGATCAAACTTAAATTAATGTCATAATAAATTCTATTTTAATTATACTTTAAATACTATCGGTAAATTCATAGTTGAATAGATTTCATATAAAAATAATATCAGATGTTTTATTTTGTTTAAAATATATATTCAACATGCTTTTATGTTTTGTATTATGTAAACACTTGACTTGAATGATTAATGTTACTTTTTAGATATAAACTGTTCTTTTTATTTACATTACTCTATAACAGTCTTTGGATATAAGACTTTGTCAAAACAAGGTAATAAATTTTACGACAAATTATTTTAAAAAGAAAAGTACATCGAATTCAATATATTCCATTTTGTCCTAGTATGAGACTCCTCAGTAGTGTGCATCCACGATCCCGCTCATGGGATTCGAACTTAGGACCGATCACTTAATCTTGTCATAATTTTGCTATGCAGTACTATATTTAACGAAAATATTAGAATATGACTGTGGTATTATTTGAATTGTTTTAGAATTTAATAATTTTGAAGTATTTTACTCTAAAAGAGGATTCCAATTATTTACACTATAACTTGGAATGTATTTAAATTTATAGGGATTGTTTACCTTTTGTTAAATGAACCGTAGTCATGTGACTTCCATTTTGTTCAAACAAAACTGATAATGTTTAAAAGCATATTATACACAGTTAATAAAATAAACATATTACATTTAATAATTACTAGAATAATATTTAAAAATAAACAGCAATATCAATATTGTATGGAAGCCATACAATGGAACATATAATACCAACATAGTGAGATTAGATTAGTTAGCATTAAACTATGAAAGAATATCAGTCTCCCATTGAGTAGTTACTACTAGCCTACTATGTGGTCTGTAAATTTGATTGGATTCTATTGGCCAAGTTCGTCCAGACGTTAGTGAGGTGCTTCATTTGAAACAAATTAGCAATAAAACATGTAGAAGTTGTAGTAATATTCAAGAAAATAACCATCTCATTAAAAATGAATGAAATTAGGAATATATTTTACGATAGTAACCTATTTTATCGAGTTAAGCAATATCTGTATATGTATAAGTGGTCAATATGATTTGAGTTTCATCATTCATATGTACGTGATTAATATTTTCTCATCAATTTCTGAAGTCAATGCTTCATAATTGTAATTTTTAGAGGCATAATTCTAATAGATGATCATAATGTTAATTAGCAGTTTATATTTTTGGCTTTCTCAAATTTATGATAGTGATTTGAAGTTTCACTAACCAAATTGGTTAGTTTCATGGGTTTTTCTATGGTAAATATACCGTATCAATAATAAATACGTGTATGAATTAGATGATATTTATATTATTTTCTTAAAAATAGTCAGCTTCAATATTATTTTTTTAAAGGATGTTTAGCAATTGTCAGTGTAAAGTTATTGTCAGTACACAGAATTCTAATGTAATAACTATCAAGATTGTACAATAAACCTTATTTATTGTTACACATATGGCAAAATTCAGTAATTCTGTTACTTCCATATCAAGTCCTAGAAATGTTTCCATTGAAAGAGAAATCAATCTTACATAAATGATGATAAACTACGATATTTTTATCATGCTTGTGAAGACGGTTCATGGGTGAATTCGAGGAAGCTCTAAGAAGCTCGGAAATAACTGAAGATATTCCATTCAATCATCTTTTGGAAGAATATTTCAGAATCCTTACGTGTAGCTTCCCTATTGAATAAATGCTAGTAACCTCCTGTATGCGGATTATATGACTATAATGATGATTTCGTTTTTACTAAAAACCATAAATACTTGATAGTTTTGTAATATAATTGACACTGTTTGGAATAGCTTTCCTTTCACTTGTCTTCTATCTTCTCATTTGCAAATTGGAGGATTCTAGTGCTCGAGTGCGCAAGTTGTACACAGTATATTAAGAATCTACGCTCTAGATAGAACGATGATTAACATTGAAATCTGACCACAACTTTACTCAATCGATATTTTACTTATCATAAGTGATTATATTTCATATAATTTTATAAACTTACGCCTGTTACTCCCAATGGAGCATAGGCCACCGACCAGCATTCTCCAACCCACTCTGTCCTAGGCCTTCCTTTCCAGTTCTATCCAATTTTTGTTCATTTTTCTCATATCTGTCTCCATTTTTTGACGTAGTGTGTTCTTTGATCTTCCTCTCCTCCTTTGCCTTCAAGATTCCAAGGGAGGGCTTGCCTTGTGACGCAGTCGGGTGCTTTCCTCAATATGTGTCCTATCCACTTCCAGCGCTTCTTTCTAATTTCTTCCTCCACTGGGATCTGGTTTGTTCTCTCCCATAGTAGGTTGTTTCTGATAGTATCTGGCCAACAGATCCGAAGTATTTTGCATAGACAGCTGTTAATAAACACTAATTTTCTAAACCTTATTATATATTTCATCAAACAATTCAGTATATAAATGAATAGAAACGTTCTTTCAATGAATGTAAATATACAATATTTTAAATTGGATTTAGTTTTATAATAAAAAAATTAAATAACTAAGTATATCCATTAAATAATTTATGAATTTTGTAATTAGTCTCAGAGTAATAAGCTAATAACTATTACATAAGAGAATTGATTTCAATATCTCATTTGTATAGTTTATATCGCTATGAAACTCAATTGTTTCAACTATGATTAAAACAATAATAATATTCAAGTCAATAATATAGATTGTAACTAATGTGATTTTAATATTCCATTTAGCTTTCCATATATATTTCAGGTATATAGAGAAATCTAATAGTAATAACCAGTAAAGTATAAATCATTAAACAACATGTCCAAGTAACGTTTTTTTCTTAATTTCCAATTATGTTCTAAATCAATACGGTTCATGAAAACAATCTCTAAACTAGTTATATCTCTTTAGATCAACAGTCCAATTTCCAGGTATGTCATGTATATCATCATTATCATTCTATTTCTACTCTGTTGTCGATCTAAACTGTTTGTAGTATCATTTTCAAATGATTGGTTAATTCGAAATTGTAATATGTATTTATGTACATGAATGTATGTGTACATATATATATATGCGTGTGTGTGTGTGTGTAAATCTGATCTCAAGCAAAACCTAATACTTGAAATAATATTGTTACTATCTTCAATACTGTTATATTCTATTATCCCAATAGTAATTTCATTATATAAAGTATTTAATTTGTTGGAAAAATGTGTCATGAGTAGAAACAAATAGAAAGAAGAAGAATAAAGTTAATAAAAGTACATTTGTAAAGAAAAGTTTATAATTGGTGAGTATTATTATCTATACTTACTTATATAAGTAATAGATTTTCTTGTGTACTTTCCTATCATATATATATATATATATATATACTTTGTACATTTATTGAATCCGATTTGAATATGCAATTATTAAAAGTACAAATAACAAATTTGTGATATTCTAGTTAATAGTTGTAATCATCACACTATTTCTGCTTTGTGAAAAAACAGAGAGAACGAGGAAGAATAAAAGAATAAGAGGAATCTAATCGATAACTATACATTGAGAGTAACAAGTTAACTCTGGTTATCATTAAATAAAACCATTATTATTTAATAATTCTTTTCAAAACTTATCTGTCCGAATGTTAATAAACGTTCAATTAGATCCTAATGAAATGAATAAACAGATTACATCGAATGGAATCACACCAGAAATTATAAATAATACTTCTATTAAAAATCCTAAATTATCATCTTTCTCTTTATCATCTTCATCATCATCAACATCATCAATGTCTTCATCACCTCTACCTAATCTGTCATCTTTAAAACATGATGAGAATAAAATTCCTGATGAAAATGTAAAGTTAAATGTATCTAACAAACCTACAGTACGAAATATTCTTGCAACTACACATAAAATACCAATATATTATTTAAGTCGTGGAAATAATTCACAATTGTAAGTTTATTTTTTTAAATGATAATAGTTTTTTAATTCAATTGATATTGTTTACTTGAATCTTCCCATTGATGTCTAGGATTGTAACTGATCGGTCACTTATTGGTATATGTGCATACTGTACGTGTGAACTTCAACCCAATGTACAAACAAATGACTATCAAGACTCAGTAGCTAAGTAGATAACGCGATGGTGTTTGAAGCGAATCGTACTGGGGTCGAACCTCAGAGTGGACACCCACCTTGAGATGCAGGTAGATCTAGCTGACGAGTCCAAAATAGGACGAAACGCGCGTCCTGGATTCCACTGCCAGTCACTATCCATCTTTGCTGATAATAGTTTTCCTTTATAAAAATTTCATTTTGTTATAAAATCTAGTGTGGAACAAGATAAGGGAAATTAAAATTGTATACTAAATGTAATTAGACAAAACAACTTGAAACTTACTCATTAATCTTATTTACGATAGCTGATAATCAACAAAAATGCAGTCTGCGATAAATAGTTTGTAATTTTTGAAGAATGAAAACGTTATTTTTTCAAGTACCTAGAACTGTACAAAAGAGTGTAGCGTTATGGTAGTTCATTAGTTGCATAAAGAAACTGTATCTTATAATATTTAGTTTTATATTGTTATGCATAAATAAATCATTTGAAATGTGAATATTTTATTCCTGTATCGTAGAAACAAGTGTACTTGATCATAACCTGATTTATTCTTTTATATAAAACATGCAAGAAGTTCACCGATCATAATCAAAATTATATTGATTTTCTCTAAAATGCAAATACAACTTTTCCATTCAAGAAAATTGACTTTATATTGTCATGGAAAAACACAAAAATAACGAATATTCATCTCTTACGACGATTATAGGTGATTGATATTTGTTTGATTTGTTAAAATTAATTCCTGATTATTTAATCTAGATAAATGATCATCAATGCCTAGTGATAAGATTCTACTTAAACATTTTATATATAAATAAAAGCTTAAATTACTGACAATATATTGATTTTTCACTGGTTGAAACCATGAGTCAATTGAAGCCAGACCGGCGTGGAAAACCTGGAAGCACTGGACGGCCGATTTGTCCTAGTATGGGACTCCTCAACCACGATGGTAGGCGGTGGTGCAACTTTATGGGTTGAATGAAGTTAGACATTAACACTGTTGGATACCGGCTCAGTGGTCTAGAGGTTAAGCTCTCGTGTGCGAGACTGATACGTCCTGGGTCCGAATCTTGAAAGGTAGAATCGTGAATGAGCACTGCTGAAGAGTCTCATACTATGACCAAACGGTCGTCCAGTAATTCCACTTTTTCCATGGTGATCTAGCTTCAATTGACTCATGATTTCAACCTGTGAAATTTCTAAAATCTCCACAAAACCTCTTCTGATAATATATTGATATCTAATTGGTTAGTAGGTCGAAGGTTCCTTGTTCGAAAACTATTTCATTCAAAATTCGGGTTCAATTTGAAGAGTAAATTATCAGTAAGATTATTGTAGTCATTCTCCTATTTTTTTAAAATTAATCTTTTACTCATCAATCACTTGCGAGCAGGATATGAGTTAGCTGTATATTTTGCTTTAAAACAGACTTGTTAGACAGTTTTATTCATAAAACATTATATGACAAGAAAAATTCTTTTCCACATTGATCGTGCATTATAAGTAATTCCGACCAGCTTCATGAGAATATGAATGTGTAGTGATTGTCATTGATTGTATATTTACACTACTTTATCATAATGCCACAAATATGGTATTGCTTTTCATTCCTATTTTTTGATTCAAACTATTCGCTACTTTATTAGATTGTGGTAGAAGCCAACACTTACACACCGTATTCTTCAATTGATTTAATTAATTAAACAAAATAAGCATTAATAATATTTTTCAATTTAGATGATATTTTAGAACAAATGGATTACACAAAAATGTATCTACGGTTTATTTGGAAAAGTGAAACTATGAGCAAATATGAATATTTGAATATTTCCATTATCATTTGTTAAATCAACTAGGTAAATTTCATACAATCATAAATAGAAATACCGTATTATAGAAAGCTTCTATCGGTCATTTCCATTGTATTAAATTCATGCATAATTGTGACGTAACATGATTTATTACATTAGAAAGATCAAATCATATTTATTTATGATTAATTATAGTTATCAAAACAATCATGAACAGATAATAATAATATAGATTCAAGACAGTAAAATGTCTTTTTCAAAATAAACATCATGATAAATAGTTAGAAACGGAACAAAAAGTATAATAATGAAATGACTTTTTCTCTAACTCCGATCTTATTGATAATTATTATTCGAAGTAAATCGAGTAGGATTGTAATGAACGAGAACACAAATGGGATTGATCGAATGTATTTGAACACAAATTTACAGAATTTCTTAGTAAAATCTGAGAACCATAGAGTAAATACTCCATTCACAAAATGTCAATTAATTGTCACAAACTTGACTGTTCCTTATGCAAATACTAGTCAATCAACTGTCTTAGACTTAACTTAATCTTCTCTTCCACATTATTCACTTTCTGTTTTCGTTCTTTTCTCCTCGATCTTTTCAACCTTCTACCTCCAGGCATTCCACTTTCGATTGGTGATATATACTACTTTTATCTGTTGATATCAATAGCACCCACCACGTATGGATAAAATAAATAAATATTTAATCTTCACAGATTGAAATTATGAGTCAATTGAATTTAGACCACCATGGAAAACCTGGAAGTACTGGATGGCCGTTCCGTCCTAGTATGGGACTCCTCAACAGTGCGCATCCACGATCCCACACCCCGCGGGATTCGAAACCAGGACCTACTGGCTTCGCGCGCGAGCACTTAACCATCAGACCACTGAGCCGGTTGTTGAAGTTAGACATTAACACCGTTGGAGTCCCATAAAAGAACGAAACGGCCATCCAGTGCTTCCAGATTTCCATTAGTGGTCTAATATCAATCGATTCATGATCTCAATCAAAAGCATTTAAGACTTATTCCACAAACGATAAATCAGCTTTTCTAATGAACGTATTTGTGAATAGTTTTTCTCAAAAGTTTTGTTATCTAGATATTCTTTAGGATTCCTGTTGATTGTTATGTTAGGCTTTTTCATTATATGAGTGATTGATCAAGTCAACTAGACAATAGTTCTACTTTTCTTGTAAATCTTATGTCAGGTATGTAAAAAATCAATATTTCGGAATTTCCGAACTTAGTTCTCTAACAATCACTATTGTGTTATCTAGAGTATATTCAAACTTTAAGCTTGATTAGTAATATGACTGAAATCATTAGCATTTAGAGCAGTTTCAATTCAAGCAAGTTTTGGATTTTTTTTCTATATCTTGACACTGTGTTCTCGTCGTCAACATAAAATAAAATATGATCTAAACGACTTCACTATTATTATGAAGAAATGTATTATTACTCATTTTATGGAAAGTGAGATTGTGATTTTCGTCCTTTTCATTAAGTTATACTAATGGATTAATTGAGTTGAATAAATGTTTACAATGAGTAATTATTCTACTAGATAAACTATGGTTTAGACTCAAAATGAATGAAAACCTGGCTAGTTGAACTGTTTAGACTTTCATCTTTTAGCCCTATTTATTAGGGCGTGTGACTGGTTGCTTAGAAACTGCTGGTTTAATTTGCGGGATAATGTAGTTTGTTTCCAATTTTAACTTCATTACAAAGATGATTTACAGTTTACAGCTATTCGGTTTGTAAAATTTTATTACCTGAAACTTGTCAAATAAAGGTATACTGAGAGTAAAGAATAAATAATGGATTCATCTATAGTTGGAGTTCAGTTGCTGTTGGGAATGGAAGAACACAAAGAGTGTTGATAAAATTGCCTAATTTTTAATTATCGTTCAATGTAGTGAATAGTGGTAAACTAATATTGAACATAAATTTGGTAATATTCCAAAGCCTGTAATAATAAGTATATAAAAGCTGGCCTCATCCAATGAATATAACAACATTTCTTTATCTTCCACCTTCGTTACTAAAAATAGTATGTTAGTTGGTTTTTGTTAACCCACGGAATACTTATCACTATGGTGATCTAATATTTCCATTTCACAAATACATGCTATATCATTTTTATTAAAAGAGAGTTTCGGCCTCTACCCTTAAGATAAAAAAGGAAGCGTGACTTGATTTTATTAAAGTGCTTATTTTTAATCTTTGAGTGATGGCTTTGTTTATGACCGGTCTTAGAAGAACCAAAATGATGTTATATATTGACAATATTACGACTATTTAAGATATAAAGTGATAAAAAATGAAAAAAGGGGGAACAGTTAACCACCTTACTAGCTTTTTACACGAGAAATTGAGCCTTGTTACGATATTCAGTGAGTATTGATTATATCCCTTAAATTTTGCCTCAGTAATCAACAAATCGAATAATTGAAATTAATTTGACGTTTTGTTTAATTTTCTGACTAAGTGTTGAAATCAGTTTTACTTGATTCTCTCCATAATTCTAATTAAAGCAATAATAGTTAAACAGATTTTGTAGTTTGGTTACTTGCCGTCTACTAGGAAACGAGCATAAAGCCAACATAACGAACATATTTAAAGTGATCATTATTCAGTAAAATTCTATTTAGTCAGTGATCGTGTATGTTATGGCAGTTCGAAGGCTTAAATACTTTTGTATTTAAAAAGATCAAATACCTAATCTTTTGTTATATCACAATGAAATATTATAATAAGTACTTTTAGAGCTAACACTACAAACATTTATAAAGACTCTGTTAAAACTGTAGATTCCAAATTCTTTTACACTGAAAACAACTTATTTGCTAATATTAATATGAAATTGTGGAGATTGTCAAGTTTTTTATTGAGACCATGAATCGATCAATGTTTGACCACCATTGAAAACTTGGAAGCACTAGACGGCTGTCCATCAATTTGTTATTGATAGACAGACCCGGTTTTCCTACAA